GGTATTTCCTCATGTGCGCTCAATTCCACATTGATTGGGATTTACGAAGGAAGTGTGCTTGGGATTTATTTGTGCAGTTTCCTCGATTGAAGTGTAAGTTTTTGTACATGAGGCCCCTGTTCTTTGTATTCTGAGTTATTAGGTTTTCCATGTTCCCCTGCTCATTGTGTCCCCCAGCTCCTCACTTGGCTGCCTCTCACCTGTTACTCATCCACTAATCACCCTCCCAGCTTATATATAGTTTGTCTACTACTAAACTCTGCTTCTCTGTTTTAGCAGCTAGTGCACTCAAGTTTATTTCTCAAGTTCTTCTTGTGCTTCTGTGGCTTTTCATTGTTAACAAATTTATTTGCCAACTTCTCAACTTTATAATTTATTGGATACATATCTATGTGATTAAAATTTGGAGTCATGATTAAAGTTGGATGCCGACATACATAGCTGTGGAAGCTGAGTCCTTCACAACCCATACTTTGAGCACGACATCTTGCAAGATTGCATGAGATTGTGCACATTATTTGAAATGTTTTAAATGTTAAACCAAGAGGGTACATATAGGATGTAGCCTAACATTTACCACAAATGGCTGTCAAGAGATATTCATTTTTAGTTTCAATGCACAACTTGGTTTTTCATTTCACTGCAGGGCTTGCTTAACATCCCATACATCTATACTACACACAATACTCTTATCATTGTTTCCACTCATAGAATAGAATATATTTCAACTTTATTGTCATTGCACATGTCACAGGTACAAAGCAACGAAATGCAGTTTGCATCTATCCAGAAGTGCTTAGCAAGAAAAATAAATTGGTAGATATATATAGTACAATATACAGTAAGTTGCTTTGAATATGCTATAGGTATAAATATATACAGGTTGTGAGTGTACAGACTATGAACAGGTTATAATATGAAGGGGTATAAACAGCTATATAAAAGAAAAAAATATATATATATATAAGTATGTGAGTACTTATGAACAGTAGATAGTATATTATGTGTACAGTTTGTACAGTAGTGGGCTAACGGATGAAAGTGCAGGTGGTGGTGTTACAGTCCATGTGTTGTTGCTGTGTGTATGAGAATACAGACCGTTGTTGTTATTCAGATGTCAGGAGGCAGAGTTTAGGAGTGTGACAGCTGTGGGGAAGAAGCTGTTCCGGTACCTGGTGGTTTTAGTCCGGAGGCTCCTGTAGCGCCTCCCAGAGGACAGGAGGGTGAAGAGTCCGTGTGCTGGGTGGCTGAAGTCTTTTATGATTTTTCCAGCCCTTTTCAGACACCGCTTCCTGTAGATGTCCTTTATGGCAGGAAGTGGTGATCCGGTGATGTGTTGGGCAGCTTTCACCACCCTCTGCAGCGCCTTCCGGTCTGAGGCAGAGCAGCTCCCGTACCAGACTGTGATGCAGTTGGTCAGGATGCTCTCAATGGTGCAGCGGTAAAAGTTCACCAGGATGTCTGAGGACAGGTGGTTCTTCCTCAGAGTCCTCAGAAAGAAAAGACGCTGGTGAGCTTTCTTGATCAGTTTTGGAACAGCCGGTCGTCCAGGTGAGATCCTCGGAGATTCATGGGATATCTAGATGCACCTTTTATTGCCACATGAAAGACAAGGCTGCAGTTTTTCCAGCTTGTCCCTTTTCAGCCTCTGCTAGATCAATGCATGGCCTTCTCCCCATCAGCTCCACCTCTCATGGCATCTCACAAAAAAACCCAAACACATTTATATGATTTTGTACCACTTTTATCAACTCATGCAGCTTCTATTTGCACCACATACTGTCTCCTGCTCAGGGCTTACATCAATCACGGCAGCACGTTGTTTGGCTGTATAGGCACTTAGCATAGTCTGTTTTTCCAGTTATTGCTTGTTTGAGGAAATGTTTTCCCACAGTTACTGAGAAATTCTCTTTTGAAAGCCTGGAGCTTGTGTGCAACTTAAGCCTCAAAGCTGGAGCATTATGCTATGCTTTTGGTTTCATGAATGTATAGAGCTCCAACACGGTACCACTGGTTCGTAACAAATCAGCATTCACAAACATTCTATTATCTTTTCTTTGCACATTGGAATGAATCGTTTGTAATTCTAAACTGATTGGAATAAATCTTTTTTTCCTTACGTTTCTTGTCACACAGATAAAATACACTAAATATAATTTGGAGGAAATGGTTAGGAGCAGAGAGAAATGGGAGCATTGCTTACCTGATTTAATAATATGCATAAAAGCCCCGGTGATGGGAATGCCAGTCTGAAGTGTCTCATTAATTCCTCAGCTCAGTGGGCTGTGGACAGACGCTGCAGACTGACAGGGGAAGGGGGGGTCTTCATTGGTGTCTTTTTAATGCTTTGAAATGGGAGCGTAGTTCAGCTTTGATGCGTCCCATCACAACGTGGATATGCATTTTCCTTCTTATACCCCCCATACTGTCAGTCATTCTAGTGAGAGTACATGAATACTGTAAACTATAGTGACAGGCTAAATCACTGTGTGAGCCATTAAGCTGCAAAGCATCAAACGGCTTTGATTTCCCGCGTGTGTTGGAATAATCACTGGGACATGATGTGGCAAAAAAGCAAGTACTATACTTATTTTCTCATTTTTAACCATTAACAGACTTAAAATGTTGGCATGCAGCTGCTTGTATTGGTGTACTGTGTGTATTCAGTTGTGATTGTGGAAAAGATCTTATTCTGTTCCAGAAGACACAAACAAGACAAAAAGAGAGTGACTGCTCAATCCACTAAAACTGAGTTAATAGTTGTTCAACACATTGTCAACAACTAGAGGGAATAATGTTGATTAACCTTTTACTTTTAGGAAATAAGTGTGGTCTAAAAACATCTAAATTAATATTGCTGTATATATATTTTTTATATAAAGAATTGTTTTCCTAAATTAATTGACCATGTTCTAAATTTTAGTGAAACTGTGAGCCTCTGCAATTTAAACATGGAAATTGAATCTCTGAACGTTGCAAGACATTCTGGAGACACTTGCAAATACCTCTTGCCAACTAGTCGCAGCCCATTACTATACTACCATAACTATATAGTAACCGGTCCAACTAGTATTAGAAATACAAACCAGTACCATTCACTGTTTTGCATTTATGCATTCAAAATAACATTTCCTATTAAAAGTAGTATGATACAATGTGAGCACTGACTGAGACATAAGCTGCTAAAAAAGAAAAAAATAATTGTTATATAACTGAAGAACTAATGGAACAAAGTTCAGTCTGGTCAGCTGGACGGTTTCTCTTTTGTTGAGACGTTTCATCCTTCATCCAAAGGACTTCAGCAGTCCGAGGGCTACAAAAAAAACTAAGTCTCACAAGTGGCGCATCCACATAGTGGGCCAACCAGTATGATGGTGATAAGATGGTTTCTGGGGCCCGCCCTCTCCCCCATCGACTCCTCTGAGGCAGCCATAGCCAAAGTGGTTCAAAACATCAAAGTTCATGCGCAATAATCCAGGTAGAAAATCCAATAAAATGCTGTTTTTTTTAAAAGTTTTGAACCACTTTGGCTATGGCTGCCTCAAAGGAGTCGACAGGGGAGAGGGCGGGCCCCAGAAACCATCTTATCACCAGCAAACTGGTTGGTCCGCTATGTGGGTGCGTTGCTTGTGAGACTCTTTTTGTTGTGGCTCCTCGGACTGATGAAGTCCTTTGGATGAAGGATGAAACATCTCAACAAACAAGAAACCGTCCAGATGACCTGACTGAACTTTGTTGGATTTTCTACATGGATTATTGAGCATGAACTTTGATGAAGCTGCAATGATTTTTCATATGTAAGACAGTCATGTTGAATTTTGAGGTCAGGGTCTGTTAGAAATCTCCAACTTACCAGTTCAGCTTTAATGGTGTTCCAGTTGAGTTTGAAAGAAGTCAGCAGCAGTTTAGTGAAACCTAAGTGAAGTCACTTTCAACACAGTTAAATGTTTCTCTTGCATTCTTTAATGTTTTCTTACAAACATTACCATCAACAAGTAATGAAGTCAAAGCCTCCTTCATAAAATGTACAGTAAACAGCAGTACTTTTATGTTAAAAGGCTGCAAATATGAAACAAATAGCCTTGAAAAATGTTGCCTTCCATTGGACAGCCACTTCATAATTCAGAAAGACCATAAAATAAAGTTACAATAAATACAATTATCAATAAACATTATAAATAAAAATTTAATTACTATTTTAAGACAATTCACAGGTATGCATTAAAGTCAAAGTAGATGCTGGTCCCAGTAGCAATAAATTCAAATATTGAATCAGAGTTTTGGCTAATTGTTGAGGTAAAATCATTTCAAAAAGCCCTCTGAGCTTATGGAAACACAAACCTTTAAGATGGCTGATATTCAGTGCGTTAAACTGAGTGCTATACATGTGCCAGAGAACTCTGACTCCAGTGATACTAACCAAATAAAAGATGCGTTTTAATATGGAAATTAGTCCAGCAGTTTTGAGATGTCACATGTCCCTGTTGCTAGTCGGTTAAACAGCATGAGCTATGTTACAATCAAGTTGTCTCACCTTAACAGCTCGGTGATACAAATATAAATAAGAAATCATTATAAATCCTGTACAGCACCTTGACATTCAGTGTAAAAATGTACTTACAAAAAGTTACTGAAATTACAAAATGTAAAAAATAGTAATTTCTGCATATAAAAAGTGCCACCTTCAATGAGGCAAATGAATCGTATGAATGACAAATATTGAGACACAATACATGGTCTACAAAAGGTTTTGCGTTGGTGCTTCAATTTTGTATGAATCTGAACCAACATGCTACAAGATGTCCCTAATCACCAGTCAGCCTAAAATGAGCCAAATTGTATATTTGAATGGCTCAGGTCTGGTACTGATGGTTGAACATTCTTAAACGGTAAATACAAAGCTGCTTTGGGAATGTTACTGAAGTCTTCACCTTTTTATATTTTTAATTTATTTTCAAAAACTGACAGTAGTACACCTGATAAAAAGGCCTTCAGCGCTAAGCTTTTAAAGCTGTCCTTTACACAGTAGTAACAGAAAGAAAGGCATTATGTACTTTAGACCCCTCTGGGACTCTGTCCCCATGGCTCATCAGCTCTTGGATGGTCATCCAGTTGTCTAGAATCTTTTTATTTCGTTTCTTCATCATCTTCTTGTGACTAAGCTCTAAGATATTGATCTCCTTCCTGCCCTCAGCTCCGCTTACTGGTCCTTCCCTCAGACATTCAAGGCGGCTCTTTTGCATGAATTCCCTCCTCTTTCTTTGCTCTCTGGCCCGTGCCAAATGTTGCTTCCTCTCCTCTTTGCTCCAGTAGCGACCCATCTTCATCTCACTCATGGCATCATCGTCTGTAGTCATGCCTCCACTTCTCTCCTCTCTGATCCGTAGTGCCCGCTCCCTCAGTATGCGGTCACGAGCGGGTCTTCGTGCAACGTACCGTGTCCCATCAGCCCGAACTTTGACTTTCCACTCCAGACGAGGTTCCCCGGGGCGTCCGTTGCGATGTACCGGATCTCGACAAACGCTGAGGAGGCTCAGCTGGCTCTGAGAATACTCCAAAGATGAGTGCTGTTGTAGTAGCTGCATGTAGCTCTGCAACACAGAACATTGTGAGCATTGCTGTTTGTGGATGCACACCAGCTTTAGATCAACATGTTTGTTTTTTATTTATACATACCTGAAATTGTTTAGGTCCTCCCTGGCCATGATAGGTGGACGTTTGATATGAAGAACCATAGGGAAGCCCTCTTCTTGAGTCTCTAGTCCTTCCCTTTTTTTCGTACCTTTCATCGTCTGCTGGCAGGGCTGGGTCCGACTCAGATCTCGAAGGATTACTCTGGTCTGGGCTGCTTGAGATAACTGGACCTGGATCTGTTGGTCTGCAAGATTTAGTCATGCCTTGCGACTTGGGGATTGGGATGGGGTTAGAGGGTGCTGAAGAGACCAGCCGGAGGTTTTTCTGGTTGGTAATGCTGATGTGCCTCTGCAGGGAGTGGTCAGAAGACCTCTCCATGCCTAACGGCGTTGAGCGAGCACTCTCTGCTGTGTTGTAGGCACTGGAACTGTCGTTCTCACGAATCTTATCACTGTCCGACCTTTCCGGGTGTTCATGGATATCTGCCAACCTGCCATGATGCCTGTGTCCATCTTTAAGGTTCTGTCCTGTGGAGCAAGGTTCAAGTTCTGAATGGTCCAGCTGGCGGGAGTGGCAGAGCTGGTGGGCTTGCATGATGCTCTGACATTCTAACTCAATGCTACGCAGCTCCTCATTTAGCATCCTCAAATCTTGCTCCACCCCTCCTTCTGCTCCCTCTTCACTATCTCTGTCCCCTCCACCTTTCTCAGTGAGGCTACATTCTATACTGTGTCGAATGGAGTACACCCCGCATTCACCCCCATTCCGAATTTGGCACTTGAGCTCTAAGAGTTGCTGGAAACAGTTCTCTAAACCTATAACTCCACATCCAGCATTACGGCTATTCACTATGCCTTCATTGCCTTGACTTGAAGAATTTGTTCTTGCAGCCTGGGTTTCCTGTGGCAAAACAGCCCTTTGCTTGGTGTGTGGATGTTCTGACCGCCATTTGTCCCTCAAGCATTGGGCTGGGCTCCTCCTGTGCATTCTGGCCAACAAGGGCTGGTGCTCTGGACTGTCTGTACTTCGCCCAAACCCACTGTCTTGATTGTTGGAGGAATAGGTGTCTGTGGTCAAGTCTTCTTCCCCTTCGAGCTAGGGAAGAGAAAACGTTTCATTATTTTGGTCAATTTCCTTCAACCAAAAGACATAGGCTTATAGTTTTGTCAAGGATTTGATCACAAATTGAATGAGAAGGAAATTCCATCCAGCCAGCCAGCCATCCATTATTGTATTGTTTATTAACATTTAGGAACTTTTGTGTGAAATCTTTTTATCTGTTGCTGCTGTTACACTTGAATTTCCCATCCGTGGGACAGTAAAGGCTGTTTCTATTCTATTATCTTTACCTGTTTCTTCCTTTTCGGGTCACGGGGGTCACTGGTGCCCATATCCAGCAGTCACTATGCGAAAGGTAGGATACACCCTGGACAGGTTGCAAGTCCATCACAGGGCCACATAGAGATAAACAAGACAAACAACCATTCATTCTCTCATTCACACCTGGGGACTATTTAGTTACCAATCAGCCTAACATGCATGTTTTTGGCATGTGGGAGGAAACCGGAGTGTCTAGAGAAAATCCATGCATGCATGGAGAGAACATGCAAACTCCACCCAGAAAGGACCCCAGCCGGGATTCGATCTTGTGACCTTTTCGCTGAGAGACATTTTCTCTACCAACTGAGACATCGTGCCACCCAGAAGGACATCTAAGTACATACATTTGATTAATTTTATTCTAGACCTTCTGGTTTAATTTCCTAGCCAATGTTAGGAGGTTAAACGTTAGTGTTGGAGTCTATATGGTTATTTTTTATCCTTACAAAATCGTAATTTTATCACATTTTCTCTGCTTTAACGATCTTTTCTTTCTAATATTCAAGAAATGTGTAGGACTGCATAAGACCTACTCTAAAGCCGGTGTTTGATTTTGTCTGGTCTCCCGCTTTGTTAATGCAACATTGAACACTGCATGAAATAAGACCAAGTCTGTAGATTTAAATGTTGCACTCCAACACAACCAGAACTGAACAAGACCTTAAGGAAAACCAGGGTAAACATATATTGTGTTGCCAAATGATCCACTTATATGCAACTTACTGGAATTGTATTCTAAAGTTGTCAATTGATCATGGGCAAATTTTTCTGAGGTACAGTTCCAATGTGGCAGGAATAATTTCAGGAGTGGAAAGGGCAAAAGTGACATCACACTCAACATGAGCAACACTGATTTACTATTTGGGGCTGAGATAGAGGCTTGAACAAGTAATTTTACCATTTAAAATAGTGTCATGTTGCCTAAGGCTGAATCGGCTCATTAAGAAGGCGGGCTCTGTGGTGGGACTGGACCTTGACTCTATAGAAAAGGTGGTGGAGCAGAGGACGCATTCCAAGATGAGGATGATCATGTCCAATCAGGGCCACCCCTTGAACTCTGCCTTCTTTAACCAGCGAAGTTCAATGAGCTCCAGACTCTGTTTGGGACTGGGACCCTGTGTACATAATTTCGCTCCACCACATGTACCACATGAGGTGCGAATGACAATAAAGAAACTCTGACTCTGACTCTGACTCTGTTCTACTGAGAGATGAACATTTGTCCCTTGTGCCTTTAGGCTGCATAATTTGGCCACTCCTGGCAGGAATCAGAGAAGCTAGCTGCTTATGTCCCCTAACATAGTTGTTGCTTGATATCCTCATAGGGTTGTCTTTTTAATTATTCATTAATCTTTTTTAAAACTCTGTTATTTTAGCTGGTGTGTTTTTATCTTAGTGTTTGTCTGAATGAGAGCTACAGATCGCCATAGAATTTCCTTCAGAAAAATCTGTCTGTCTGTCTATATATATATGTCTGTCTGTCTGTTGTGTTGGATTAATTAAAACAAGAAGACTGTTGAAATAAAAAGCCAGGATGAGGGTGTGTAGATGCGTTTTTCTTCTCAGCTCTCCCAACTTCGATCTCTCTTCGTAGGAATGATGTGACGACTAAATAAATCAAACACGGAGCTCTCACTATTCTTCTTCTGCTATCTTTATTGCACATCTTTTGTCTCTTGTTTTAGATTCGTTTTACTTGGCATCCCCCCTCACCTCATCTGGCCTCTGAAAGCTTTGTTCCCTCTGCTTCCTCCTCTCTTCTAGCAGATCCATCTTGAGCTCCTCAACAAGCTCCTGTTGCTCATCGTCCAGCCATGCAGCCTCGTCCTCCTCCAGCAGCTGTAATCACAAGATCTTGTCAACGACCCGTCTCTCTTGTTTTGTACTCTTGAGCACGTGTAAGTGCACGCAGGTGCTCTAAACAATCACTCTGACAGGGAAGAGAAGTGAAAGGCTCTTCGTAAGCATTTCTTTTATTTGACATGACATGGGTTGTCAAGACGGGGCAGGAGAGCGGTGTGCATGCGTGTGTTTACCTGGATTTCTGGTCTTGTCACCAGCAGTGTGATGCTCCTCGCTTCTTCGCTTGACAACATCGCAACGGCTTTCTCTCGGTCTTGCACTTCACAGCCATTTATCTGTACATCAGTGATGACAACAAGTATATGAACAGTGAATTGGAGACAAAGGGGTATTACAAGGCAACATTGATTTTTTTTTTATTATTTCTCTCTTTGTTTTCTAACCCCCCTTTTTTCCCTGATCTCTCCACATCTCCTCTCCCATCAGTCCTTTTCTTTCCCTCCCACTTCATGAAAATACTCTCAGGAAAGGGAGTCAATTGCGAGAGTCAGCTCTCGCCACATCGTCCAGACATACAATTAACTGTTCTCTGACAGGTGGCGTTCATCTTTTCCTCACGAGAGTAATGGGGCTGTCAGGGGAAGATAATAGGGCCAGAAGTACAGCGGGCCTTGCTCCCTCCCAATCATTCATAGGAGCAGGAAACAAACAGCGCACCGAGAGGAAGGAAGTAGTCAAATTGCAATTTACAATGAATAAAGAAGAAAGAGTGTGATATATGTTGGACAAAGCTGAAAGGTAATTAAAATGAAAGGCCTTGTATTCCTTGAAGGAATGCATATTGCCTGCTGCCTTCAGTTTTAGAGTACGATCATCTTACGATGAGGGATGACGAAGTTACATTCAGTTGGACAAACCGTAAAAATCACAACACATAAACTCAAGCAATCTGCTAGTGCTTGAATTATGTGTCGTGAGTAACTGTCAGCTACTACCACGTAAAGTTTTATCTCATCGTCTGTAAAATGAGCTCAGTTATTGGCATTTTTGTGTTTTCTATGTTCAGTTGGCATTCAGTTCAGTTGTAAATGGAAAATTGTCTTTCTATGCATAGAAATACCATCCACTGTATTCTGTGTATGAGGGGTTTTGGACGTTAATGTGCAAGAAATGTACGAAGAAAACATGTTGATGAGCTATAATCCAAAATATGTTGGAAAATACTGTAGGAAATAACTGATTATACGTATACCTCAGTTACATACACACCTAGTGCCACCTATTGGCAAATCTGAGGTCAAGAGTGTAACATTTTCTCTTGCTATTACTGTTACAGAAAGAAAATCGGACACATCATTTAAAAAGACTAGTATTTCTTAAAGGAATGCATATCACTCGCCACCCTTCGTACAAAAGTTTTAAACCGTCGTCTTTGAGCGATTCGTAGACATTTCTGTCAAACTTTGGCAGTAATGTCAAGCAAATGTTTGGTCAAGATCGGAGTATGTGTTGGGGATTACTGTAATTTCCGGTGTATAAGTCGCCCCGGAGTATAAGTTACATCAGTCAATAAAAGCATCTCGAAGAGGAAAAAAAACGTATATAAGTCGCAGGAGTGACAAATCTACGCAAAAAACTGTGACGTATGCACCGGAAAATACGGTAACGCGTATCGAGACTGAGCTCAATATCTGTAAAACTGACGGTTTGCTTGATATGGTTGGTTAGCTGTAGTGGCCATCTTGAAATGGATTGCACATCTAATAATTTCCTAAACGCTCAGGATCTATAAAACTGACCGGGTTATAGCCGTGTTTGCATTAGCTACGTTCAGTTAGTTGTAGTGGCCATTTTGAATCAATTTGATACCATAATTTTATCATTTAAGATGCTTATCGCAAAGTTTCGTCAAAATCTGTCCACCTATTTACAATATGTTTTGTTAACATGACACACAGGCAGATGCAAAAACATTACGCTTGCCTTTTTACTTTTTCAATGGCAGACCATGACAAAAATCTAAAAACAGTAGGTTTGCACCAAAATTCCCTCAATTGTTGACTATTTTAAAGCTCTGCTACAAAACCACTGCTGTCTCATTTCTACTAAATCCTTATTATTTGCTGCTAGTGCTCAGGATGGTTGTTCCGATTATATTTACAATAAAGGATCTTGGTTATAAAGAGAGAGATTCACGCTTTGATCCCAGTTTCTTTTTCTCTGCATAATGAGACGTAGCAGGACTGAGACACAAAGAAAAGTGGTCTTGGAGATGATTTAGTGGCTGCAAAACTGCAACTAAGGACTTTATTTCCCTGCTAAAACGAGGTGATTAAATATACATATCCTTTTCCAAGAGTCGAGACACCAGCAGATTCTCTTCCAAGTGGCTTGGAGGGTGTGCTTTTACCTCACAGAGAACAATTGAACGCACAATATGTGTATTTTTTCTTTTGTAACTTGAAAGCTAGCAGTGATTAGGGGAGCACCATGAGCTTAAACTGATTATAACTGACGGTATATAAACTGATTTAATGCGCGGGGATAAGATGATTCACCTGCAGAATGCGGTCTCCTTCCTTGATGCGTCCGTCCAAAGCTGCTATGCTGTTCGGCTCCACCTGCACAAAAGAACAGAAATCGATGCTGACAGCTACTCATTGTAAACGCCTGCGTTATCAAAGGAAAAAACTATGATAGATCACATGCTGTTAGGTGAAATCTCAGTTTTGTTCATAAAATAATTGTCTTTTTTCCCACTCAGTGACAGCTCCATGTTTTATTGTATGAATGTTTATGAAGCATTCACACTATTGTGATCCATTTTGCTTCCATACATTTTTTGGCGTAATTCTCGTCCCGCAGTTTTCAAGCTATTTCAACAAATCCTTTATCAAAACGTTCAGCTCTTTCAGGATAATCCTGATGACTTTTGGTATTGGTGCAACTTGAGTTTTTAAAAAAATATTTAGCCTTTTCTGACATTTTTTTCTCAAAGAAAATGAACTGAGCTCATTTTACCTCCTTCAAATCTTTTGATCTGTTTACAACCATTTACTGCTCCTTTCACATTTTGTTCTTTCAGCGTCTTTGTGCAAATTTAAACTGTTTTCAGCTATTTTCAGCTAATTTCAGCTGTTTTTTTCAGCTGTGTTTAGCTAATTTCATCTTTTTCCAGATAACGTTCTTTTTTTTGTGTGTGTGTGTGTTCATTTATGCTTCTTTCAGCCTAACTGGGCAAACATGTTTTTTCTGCTTTCTTCTGCTAATTTAAGCTTGTTCTAATTTTTCAGCTACCTTTTTAGCATTTTTTAAGCTAATTTTAGCTGTTTTCAAATAAATTCAAGTTTTTTGTGGTAATTTCTACTACTTTCAGTCTAATTAACTTCTTTCTGCTAATTTCAGCTCATTGTGCTCATTTTAGCTTATTTCTGCTAATTCCAAAATTTTCTGCTATTTCAGATACTATTTAGCTGTTTTTATGATTAATTTAGCTTTTTCAGCTAATTCAAGATTCTTGGAGCTCATTTCAGCTCCTTCTGCATCCTTCTATTAGTTTAAGCTTCTTTCTGCCCTTTCAGATTCTTTCAGCATTTGTTTGCTAATTTCAGCTTTTTTAGCTAATTTCCTATTTTTTGTTCTCATTTCTGCTCATTTAAACCTAATTCAGCAAATATGTGTTCTTTCTGCTTTCATCTGCTATGTTAGGCTTGTTCATCAATTTCAGCTATATTTCAGCATTTTTAAGCTGATTTCTGCTGTTTTCAGATAAATTCAAGTTTTGCATGCACATTCTGCTACTTTCAGCCTAATTAACTTATTTCTGCTAATTTCAGCTTGTTATGCTCCTTTTAGCTTATTTCTGCTAACTGCTGATTATTCTGCTATTTCAGCTACTATTTAGCTGTTTTATGCTAAATTTAGCTTTTTCAGCTAATTATCATTCTTGTAGCTCATTTCAGCTACTTTCAGCAATTTTTGCCAATTTTAGTTTTTTAAGCCAAGTTCATATTTTTTGTGCTCATTTCTGCAAAAGTGTGTTCTTTCTGCATTTCTTCTAAGTTAGGCTTGTTCATCAATTTCAGCTATATTTCAGCATGCTTTTAGCTAATTTCCATTGTTTTTCAGCACGTTCTTCTGCAACAAGCATTCACACTACATTTTCACAGGAAATACAATTTCTCTTGTTTATATTGAACTTTTTGCAGATTTGAATGTGTTTGTATGATGCATTCTTATTTCTTCTATGTTTCAGTAGAAAGTGACAGACTAACAAATTTTAACATGTAATAACAAATATGTTGGTGTGCATGCAAAGACGATGAAGAATCTAAGTTTGAAAGATAACGCCCCACCCCCCACCCCCCCCCCCCCCCCCCCCAAAAAAAAAAAAAAAAAAAGATAGCGTTCGTGCTGCAAATAGTTCTGAACGAATCAACATATCCGGCTTTTTGAAATGCATCCCGGTGGATATGCGAGTACGCTGCAGCAACACTAAAGAATCCTTTCATAAACTTTGTTGTTTCTAACGCTCAACATCAAGGGATGTGGCAACGTGTGGGGGAAAACAAAACAAAGCTGAGGGGAAAAGAAAATCCTGCATTCCCCAAAAGTTGCATTAATCCAAACATGCATTTTAATGAGAAACATTACCATTTTAGTTGTGCATATCAAACTCACAAATACTGTGGTGACAGACTGTTCAGTTTTTTTTATTGTGTGAATGTTGATGAAGTATTCACACTATTGTGATCCATTAATTTCCCGTACATTTTTTGACATAATTCTCGTTCTGCAGTTTTCAAACTATTTGAACAAATCAGCTCTTTCAGGACAATCCTGCTATGACTTTTGGTATTGGTGCAACTTTAGCTTTTTGAAATATCTAGCCTTTTCTGCCACTTTTTTTCTCATAGAAAATAAATGGAGCTCATTTTACATCCTTCAAATCTTTAGATCTGTTTAAACCTTTTACTGCTCCTTTCATACAGTATTTTGTTCTGGCTTAGCTTCGTTTAGCTTTCTTATGCAAATTTTTAAACTTTTTTTCAGCTACTTTCAGCAAATTTCAGCTGTTTTGTGCTCATTTCAGATTCTTTCTGTTCACTACAACATTTTTGTGCTTCTTTTATGCTCCTTTCAGCTTATTTCTGGAAGTTTCATCTTTTTCAGCTATTATATAGCCGTTTTAGGCTAATTTAATATTTTTCAGCTCATTCTACAGTTTTTGCCCTCATTTAGACTTTTTTCAGCCTAATTCAGCAAAAATGTGCTCTCTCTACTTCCTCCTTGTAATTTCAGCCTCTTTCTACTTTCGTAGTTGCTTTTCAGCTGTTTTTTTTTTTTTATCTATTTTGCTAATTTCAGCTCTTTTCAGATAATTTTCTCATATTTGGGCTAATTTCGGCTTCTTTCAGAAAAAGTGTTCTTTCTGCTTTCTTCTGCTAATTTAAGCTTGTTCTACCTTTTCAGCTACCTTTTTATAAATGTTTATTTTTTTTTTCAAATTTCAGCTGTTTTCGGATGAATTCAAGTTTTTCTTGGTAATTTCCGCTACTTTCAGCCTAATTAGCGTTTCTACTAATTTCAACTTATGTTCCTTTCAGCTTCATCTGCTATTTCAGCTAGCATTTAGCTGTTTTGTGCAAATTTGAGCTTTTACAGTTAATTCCACTTTTTTTTTTTTTAGCTCATTTCAGCTCTTTCCATTTTCTTCTGGTAGTTGAAGCTTCTTTCTGCCTTTTCAGCTATTTCAGCTGTTTTATTTATTCATTTATTTTTGCTAATTTCAGCTTTTTTAACCTGATTTCCTACATTTTAGACAAAGTTCTGCTTATTTAAGCCTAATTCAGCAAATGTGTGTTCTTTTTGTTTTATTCTGCTAATTTAGGGTTGTTCTTCCATTTCAGCTACATTTCAGATTTTAGTTTATTTTCAGCTAATTTCAGCTGTTTTTCAGCCAGTTCTTCTGTAATAAGCATTCGCACTGCATTTTCACAGGAAATGCAAATTATCTGGTTTATTTTATTTTATTGTCAAGTGAAAAACCAGGAGCTGGCAGGTTTTCACAAACATAAAAACCATCCTAAAAGAAATAAGAGTATTAGTTTATTATTTTGTCTTGCATGCCTTTTATGCAGGAAAGCTAATCTGCATCGTAGCTCTGATGCTTCTGCTTTTGTCTTGATAAAAGGATTGAACCTGCACCTGCAGTCAAAATCCACGTTTTTCCATTTATTTTATAAATTCCATCGTTCATCTTGTCTTGGATTGCTCAGTGATTTGTTTTCATCCTGTCATATCTCATTTTTTCCCCCTGCAATAGGACGTTTACTCTGAGCCGACAGTCGTTTGAATTAAAACCAAAAATCTCTGATAATTTTCCCTTCCTCGTTTCGCCTGATTGGAATTCAGCTGGGTTTCACTGAATGGGAGTATGTGTCATTTAACATATTGTTGGCGCAGAGACGGCTGCTGCTCGGAGCTAATTAAAACCTTCAATTAGAACATGTTAAAGGAGGAGGAATGGGAACGGCAGAAAGGGAATCATATTTCAAACCTGACTTCCTTTTCGGCCATGCATACCTCATTCAGAAAGGGTTTTTGACTAGAAATCCTGCCTCCTTCCTGCCTAATCCAGTTGCTCTCAGCTTTAGTGTGAAAAGACGTTAATGAATATGGGATTTTGAAAAATTTGTCAATAGCTTCCTGCTTCAGTTACACCAATCACAAAACAGACTGCTTTGTCTTTCCAACACGGTTTGTTGAACATGTTTAGACTATTCAGAGCTTGCATGTGTTTAACAAGTAATTTCAGTTGAAAGACGCAGATTTTGTGGTGAAAAGGTGTAAAATGAGTTTTAATGTACCTGGCTGACATAAATGCCAGTGTCCTCCTCATCATCCGTTCGATAGCACAGCGTCAGCCCAAGTTTTTCCTGGATGTTCTGTCTACAGAGTTCCACTTCCTGTTGCACATAAAATTTTAAAAAAAAAAGCACGTTTTAGGTCAGCCCTGTTCAAGAAAACAAAGAAAACTGCAAAACTTAAAGTATTAATTACTTAATGAGGTATACTGAAAATGGTCCATTCAAGACCGTCGGACAATAGTAAGAATCGAGTTAAACCCAGCCCCCCAGAGCATTTCCCTAAACGAAATCTTACCCACCCCCTGGTTCCTTTTGATCTCTGCTGTGTATAAAGTTAATCTCATAAAGATAACTTTGGGGCTAATCTGTATTAACCTCACACGACCAAATTCATTTAAACTCTGTGATGATATGAAGCGAGTGGCGTGGGATGGAGCCAAAGGGGCGGCTGATTTGTAAGGTGGGGGAGGCGAGAATTAAACCCTAAACCCCCCTCTGTTTTTCTGTCATGGAAAGCCACGATAGCTGAGATTGACAGGGAAAGAAATTAATTTCTGTGGCATTTAACCCCCTGTGCAAACAACCCTGACCTTCAAAGGTTGGGCTGTGTAAGGAGGCTGGTTCTGAAACGCCATAAGCTCCTCCGTACTCACACACTCCTCACTAGTGTATTAAAATGGGTGATTTGTAGCTTGACACTGAAATCAAATTAAACAGCATTATGTCAAATTGGGCCGTTCACTAGTTTTTAGTGAAATTCCAAACTTTGTTGCTCGATTAGTGATGACTGGATGATATTCTGCACAGCATATGGCACAACGTTTACCTAAAAACTCATTTAATGTGCCCGTAAAGGAAGTTTATCTTTCCAGCATTCCCATTATAATAAAAACGCATGAAGTGAAGTAAAGATTCATTGACAGTAGGTGTCATTATGGCTTTTAGGGACACGTTAAACATCTGGAAGGAGCATTTCAGTCTGGCGTCTGTTTAACTGCCACCTCACGCTTCATTTAAACGTAATTACTGCCAAGTTTAATGTACTCGAACTTATTGTTTCCTTATTACAGATGACTATGATGATTTCGACTAACTTTAAATCATATTGGTATTTAGCCCTCTACATCTGTTTGTGTTTCCTTCCCTGTTACCTCTAAATAAAACATTAAAGAAGCAGAAGACATTTCTTTTAGCAGAGAATCAATACCTCTGACATGCTAAGGTCTTCCAACTGTCAAAATTATGAGCTTAAGAAACCACTAAATCTTTTGTAGCAAACATAATTATGTGCACCACACACAGACAAAGGTGTGTGATTTCAGTCATTTGCAGCACAGGCTTTTATTTCCTTTGCCACTCTGCACACACAGCTATAATCTTCTGGCAGAAATGCACGCTGTAATCAGTATTTTTATTACCTACAGCCAAAAATGTTGTTTCTTGGCTATAGACTTCAGGCTCAGTGAGACGAAGCCAACTTTTAAAAACCAGCTCAACAATCACAGATATGTCGGGTATGTTATTAATTTATACAAAAGTTGAACAATATTTGCTGTGGAAGGATCCCCAGATTAATATGCTTCCCATCCCCCCACCCGTATAAAATGAAACTTACATCTAAGGGATCTTGGCAGCTGACATTCCACAAATCTCTTTTTATTATTGGCGTGAAGGTGAGATGTTACCCACAGTATTGTCATTTGTGGGGGGGTTTTAAACAGCGTTCAAAATTTCAAGATGCTAAATATGAAAGCCAAGCTTTTAGATTTTGAAATATGAGGTTTATCAAGTCAAGATTTTGCTTTGAATTTTAGGACCTTGCTTTTGGCTAGGAGAAAAACCTTTCAGATTGCATTGTGAAATGCACAATGACTGTGAATGACTTATCATTAAAATATCAGTTGTTGGTTTTTTGTGCTACCACAAGCCCTATTTGCACGGGATTAGTTTTACCTAGGGACCACATGCTATTTGTAATAATTACGGAGATTGTTTGTGTTGTTAATCCCGTGCGAATCTGCCATGTCAGTAATTTGTAATGTGAAAATTCCCCCACAAATTACCTACTATATTTTGCTGAACTTAGAGGTCCTGTGATAATACTAATCCAATGCGAATACGCATCTCTGTGATTTGGACAGAAATGGGTGGGATCCAATACGTAATGAGGCGTTTTTTGTTTATCTTTAAGCAAAATCATATGGAAAAATATAGAACAAGGCTATTTTAAATGAACGCGCTGCTCGCTTCAGCTTTTATGCTGCTACTTCCTTCACCACAAATGACAGCAAGTGTGGAGATGCGCGCCTGATCAACTGACCCACCCATCCATCCATCCATTATATTTACCCGCTTCTTTCTTTTTGGGTAGCGGGAGTCGCTTGTGCCCATGTCCAGCCATCGCTGTACGAGAAGCGGGGGATACCCTAGACAAGTTGCAAGTCCATTTCAACTGCAGCTGCTCTGAGCTTAACGTGGCTTTTTTTTACCTCTTAAACTGGCCGGTCGGACGTACCTCCTCCTCAACAAGTAGATTAACATAATTTTATATTGTGCATTCTTTAGTTTTCTATGTGCTGATTCATAAAAAGCACATCAAAGCCTGACACAGGCCCGGCCCGCACATTATTATGGACCAACCCGGTTGTGACAACGCAGTGCATTAACATCATATCTGGAAGATGTCCGTAAATTTCAGCTAAATCTCAGGCTTTGGTTATCCTGTGCGAATGCGGCATGCGCCATATAAAAAGCAGAAGTTGGAGAGTAATTTATATATTACATGTGGTCCCTAGGTAAAACTAATCCCGTGCGAATAGGGCTTTAGTTGGGATTATTGCTCGATACTCTTGATAAAACAGTTCGTTCTTCACCACAATGAACTGGAGAACACCTCCTTACTTGAGACCCCAATCCGTTGATGCATCTCTGTGATGCCCAAAAACTTGAACTCCTTTGCCAGAGGCAAAGACAGCCCTGTCTCTAGTTATAATATATCTCAATGGGTGGGTAGTTGGTTGGCTCTGTTGACTTTTAGCATGTTTGACTTTCACCTGGGGTGTGTCTGCATGATGTTTGCATGTTCTCCTGTAGTATGCTCTCAAGGGTATATCCTGCCCTTTGACCAATGACTGCTTGGGATAGGAATAAACCAACCTCCCCCCATGAAAGAAATCCTAAACAGGAATACCAAGTATAGAAAATGGATGTGGTGATTTCGTTCTATATTTTTGAAATCCCAAACCAAACTGTTACAGGAACATTTGCGTTTAATGCACAAGACCTAGTCCATCCATCCATCCATCCATTATCTTTACCCGCTTGTTCCATTTTGGGTCACGGGGGTTGCTGGTGCCCATGTCCAGCAATCACTGTGCGAGGGGCGGGGTACACCCTGGATGGGTCGCAGGTCCATCACAGGGACACATAGAGACAAACGAGACAAACAACCATTCACTCTCTCACTCACACCTAGGGACAATTTAAAGTTACCAATCAGCCTAACATGCATGTTTTTGGTCTGTGGGAGGAAACCGGAGTACCCGGAGAAAACCCACGCATGCACGGAGAGAACATGCAAACTCCACCCAGAAGGCCCCTGGACCGGGGTTTGAACCAAGGACCTGCTCGCTGAGAGGCAGCAGCTCTACCAGTTGCGCCACCGTGCTGCCCAAGAACCAGTCCATTTTTTAATTTTTTGATTTGTTTCATCTCTTGGCATCACTCAAAGCTCAATGAAATTCTTAGTTCTTGAACATGTTTGCCTGCCAATATTTGGTTTTGTTTGTTTTTGATCAGATTAGACAAAGTCAGCGTTTGAAGTCTGGCACCTGGAGACCGTCCAAATTATGACTTAAAAAAAAAAAAAGACCAATTCAACAAGTTGATAAGTAACTCCTGTCTGGCACTCTGCTGCCTCTTCATTTCAGTATTTTGTCTCAGAGAGGTCCATACTCGTGTACAAATGCAGTGGGAATTCTTCTTTGCTGCAACTGATTTTCTATATCCAAACTGTTTACCTCTCAGATTTTTTTATTGTAAGGGGAAACGACTTAATATTTCACCTGCTGACCCTTTTTTTTTTTACTATAGAAATCAAATCATTCATGCTTTTTTCCAAGTCATAACTCTGAAACTCCAGTGTTACTTGGTGTGTATTACACCATGATGGATTTGGCAGAACCAACAGGAGTATTATGACAGTGGGCATAGCCATGTGGACAATCAGTCTGAAGTGAAGCACAACCTGTCAGTCAGAAGTAATGTTCCTGGGAATGGCAGCCCAATTCTGTTTCTTTCAGGAGGAAAACATTCTGGTTTCAGTTAGATACACATGGATGGACAGGGGGGGAAAATTAGGCCAGCTGATTTGGTGTGTGTCTGGCAGGTGTGTGTTGTTCAGCCAACTTTGTTCTGATACTGTTATTACCACACACACGAGCTTTCTTCCACCACCCGACCCAAACACGAGGCCCTTTCCATCGACAATGCTTTAAAGTAAAAGGCCACAGCTGGCAGCAAAGGGATCCTAATAACCCACAATGCAGTTCACTGAACCAGGAAACGCCTATTAAACCTTAGATGACCACAGATAAAAGAAATATAACCCCATTGCTTTCTCCTGGAAGGACCTCAAGGTACATTGTTCAACTGGCATGGTGCATCAGCCAATCTACTGATGCCATTAAGGTATTTATTTTTTAAACACATTAACAGATTCTCTGTAGACTATTAAAGCTGATAAAAGACAGATGAATCCACACATGAAAGAGTGTAAAACTTGTTAAATGGTACATTTTAGGGTGCAAAACCTTACCTCAAACACATACTCTTCAGTCCTCTCCAGTTCTGCTGGGGTATTGGAGAGATATTCTGGACATTCGTAAAACTCATGCTCCATAGTGTGGATGGATTGACAGCTACGGGCACAAGAGAAGAAATGGGGATTTTACCAATAATTGGCAAACTATGTTTCCATGTGTGCATGCCTTTTCTCTTTGGCACCATTCTTCACCATCATGCCCTTCCTATTTATAAGCCACTGTTAATAACCACTTTTGCACGTTGCCGGTCTTTAAAATCGTGTTCTTGTTTTGCAACTAAACTTCAAACAAAAAGTGATGCCAGTCATTCCCCTCATTACAGCTTTGACCTCTGGAAATTGTTGCTCTGACTGCTACTCTAATTACTAACCAAGACTGGGATATTTGTGAGGTTTTAAGACAAATTGATTTCATTTGCTGTCGAGCGACGCCCTATAAATAGCCACAGAATGGATGTGGTATCAGGATGCCTTCTCTATCAGCCCATTGGATTTTAATCGCCCAGCAAAAGCCTCCATTAAAGGAAATGGATGAAGCACACTGAAGCAATTATTGTATCCCAGTTTGGTTGTGCATAATATTATGGAATAGCTTTGCTTGAGGTTTCTACACTGTGAAAAAGCTGTCTAATAGCCGCATTGAAGCGAGAAAGACCAAACAGTGCAACCGTCAAGCTGTATAAATAAAATGTAAAAAGTTTCTTGGCATTGATTCACAGACCTGAGAACAACAAAGGTAAATTTCATTCTCTTAAATTACCTTCATACAATCAGCATTTGTCCTCACCTGTCAGAGAGCAGGAACGGACAGATGTCTGGCACTGGTGGGGTGGTGGGCCGAAGCTTGGCCAGTGCCATGATGTGCTCAAAGGTGATGTCTGTTTGAGTACAAACATCAGTCACGCACACGTCCTGTGGTGAGCTGCTGTTCATTTGCACAACGGCAGCCGCGGCGCTGGAGGGCGTTCGCCTGAGAACCTGGACGACGATGGGGTCCCGCCTGATGGCCTCCACCACTGCCTCGTCATGTTCAACCTTGGAGAAGTCTCGTCCGTTCACCTTAAGCATAAGAAAACAAAAGAATGAACTGAGTCCTGTTGTATTGCTTGACTGAGAACTTGAGCACTTCTTGTAACCTCAATGGGAAAGAAAGGAGACAGTTTTTAACACTTGTGCATCATTTGCTTCTCCGTTTCTTTGCACATTTACCTACAACGTATACATCTCCAGTAGGTGAAGAGAATGTAACTTTTACACTCATGACTTTGTAATATACTGTTCCATTATCTTCCCAATTATTATAAAAAAAAAAGCTAAAAGCATGTCTTAATGGGCTCGTTTTATCTGGTTCTAGTTATACCATATCTTCTATTCCATACGAGTCCAACTCAGATGCATTATTTACAAGGAATTTCTACCATTAAGCCCATTAAACCCCAAACAGTAAAGTAGATTAGGACAAATGAGCTACAAAATAGGGACAGACAGCATTTAGTAGACTTTGCACCACTGGGAAAACAAGTTTTAGTAAGCACCACTTACTGCATTCCCATAATCAGACAAGATTGTGCCACACAAGAACGCAGAACACTTTTGTGTGTGTAAGACATTATAATGACTCTTCCTTTGTTAAAACACGTACAATGATCTGCATCTCTTTGCTTTGCCTATTGATTTGCTTGTTATGTGCCTGAGGCTTCTCTTATGCTTGTTTTCTGTCTTCAAATGCTGTTAAGTGATTATTTGTAATGATATAAAACACCTGCAGACATCAAATCTTTGAGCAAGCCTTCATGTCTGTGTCAGTTGTGAGCATCATTATTTTTGAGACAGTTTCAAAACAAAAAGATGTGTTTTAAAGTGCTCAGAACTTAGTAGGCAGTTGTAAAACATGTCTTTAGAAGGCATGTCGGCATTGAATATTGGTTTGTAATCTATATTAACTTCAGACGCCGCTTAGTCCCCAAACTTTAATGGCATCTACACTTGGTGTCAGTGAGTTACCAGTTAATCCCCAGAGTTAAAAATATGTAGTTAAAGATGCTTCGATTTCCATCCAGGGGGCTTCTTTTCTTCCTCACTCGCTCTCGAGCAAGACAGATGCTTTTCTTCCCTCTCCTGCCTCCCTCCTGCTTTTCTGCTCTCTGTCCTGTGTATCGGAGCTTCTATTTACACATCTTCCGAATCGTAAATTACTGTCATGGATCTGGTCAGCTGGACTTTCAACGCAATTGATAAATTTTTTTCAACCAAGCGGCAGGGTCCTGGAGAACCCTCATGCCCCGCTGAGGTGAACGCGGCAGGGTACGTCATGGATATGGTGTGCCTTTCTGTATTGTCTCAGGAGAATGCCGAAGATCATTGAATTTATGATGGCAAGGTTTCTGCTTTTTGGCACCGGCAGATACCTTTGTTATCGACTATTTAGGAAGATGGCGGGAGCAGCTTCAGCCATGGCAAAGCTGCTGACCTTATGTGACGGATCAGTTTGTGCTTTGAGCTCTCAGACTCAGCTGATTTACGAGCTCAACCGTAAGATGGAAGCAATTAATGAGAACCGTACGCCACTTGCTGCTTTGGAACTCGCCAGCATGTTGGGATCGACCTTGAAGGAAGCTATAAGCACGGACCAGCAGAAAGCCCACAAATCTGGCCATTTTGGATATCGAAAGTACCAGCAGAACTCGAGGCTGACGAAAAATAACAGTCTGCCTGCACGAAAACACAACTATGGCTTATCTGAATCGGAGTCCCCCGTTCGGCCTTGAAGCAGGCCAACTTATCAAATTTCTCCTGGGATGTGTGTAAACTAAGGGTGTTTTCACACTTGATAGTCCGGTAGACTCGGTTCGGTTGGGGACCAATATTCAGAACATTTGTTGACATTTCAGCTGGTGCGGTTTGCATTCACACTGCACTGAGTCAGTTGAGCCAACCTGTTCCTGCTCCCTCACCTGTGGTGGCGCTGCACCAAGAACTACTGAAGGAAACAACACAAAAACCTCTGAAGACACTTCTTCTTCTTCTTCTGGAAATAAAAACAAAAATGGAGCAGTGTCAAATTTTAGCGGTTTTAGGATTTCTCTTTTGTCATTTTTCAACAATGGACCCAGCATGAGTGGAAGATGAGGCAGAAGACCACGGAGAATATTGTTTTTCACACAAGGCGGCTGACGGCTCTGCATGAAGTAAGAGAAATGTGCATTTGCCCTTCATACAAAGGACTTCATCAGTCTGAGGAGCCATAAAACAAACTCCGTCCCACAAGCAGCACACTTACATAGTGGACCAACAAGTTTGCTGCAATAAGAAACTAGAAACCATCGTATCACCAGCAAACTGGTTGGTCTATGGGAGCATGCTGCTTGTGGGACTGAGTTTGTTTGTGGCTCCTCAGATTGTTGAAGACCTTTTGGATGAAGGACGAAACGTCTCAAACAAACAAGAAACCCTCGAGATGACTGACCTTTGTTGGATTTTTTACCTGGATTATTGAGCATGAACTTTGATGTGGAGTTCCAAGTTTTTTAAACTGTGTGAGAAGCTCCGTTACATAACTACGGTGGCCCTGAGGTGTAAATGAACAACATTTGAAAAAAACGGAAGTGGCCAGAATTACATTTGAATTAACGAAATTCATGTAATTAAGGTTTGTTTTTTTTTTCAAATGTGATTCTGGCCACTTCCGCTTTGGCTTATTTTATATTATATAACTGAGATTCACATGCAGATTAAACAACACACCTCGCGCAATGGAGAGTCATGGTCTTTGTTTTCTTGTCTCACAAACAAGACTCTTTGGTCACATGGATCAAGGTGATGATGACCCAAATAGTACATAAATAGCTATTTAAATGACACTTCACAGACCGTATGTAATGAGTTTATGTGCTAAATATGGCACACGGGCACCAGTTGATAATCATTACATTAAACGTTTTAACGTTGCTTTTGTAATTTTTCTACTGTGAAAGCTCCCCTGATTTTATTGGTCCAGTTTATCTACTCGCAAAGCAGCGGAAAACTTCTGTAATATTTCTAAGTTTTAATGAGCAGCAGATGGGCGGATTAATCTTCAGTTATTAGAATTGTTCTGGAAGTGAGGAAGTCATTGTGGGTACGCCTGCGTGCACATTTACCTGCTGCTGTTCCTCTATGAAATCAGTCTGTTGATGAGCTAACTGGGTGCTGATTAATCACCAGCAGATGCGACTAAAACCATGAAAAATGCTTCAAATATTTTACCTGTTGTGCCGATGTGAATGCAATGGATGCTTTGTGCACCACATATGAAGAATAAGGTTAGCGAAAGGCTGTAAATATTTGGTTTAACGGCATTATCGTCTATGAATCTGTTTTTAAATATAAATCCTTAAATTTCATCCTTTGACGTAAACATTTTAACTTTGACGTATTCAACGCACTTCAGGAAGTCTTTGTCTTTGCGTATTAAACAATTAGCGTCCCTGTCATTGATATATTAATGGTTGCTCAAGGACCGTTCCCCACAGGAGTTGTAGTTTAATTTCATCTGTGTGCATGTGTGTGCCTTGAACGTCACATACTGCAGCGGCAGAATAAATGCACCGAGACATATAGGTATGTGGATTCCATCGATATCAAACGGTAATTCCATTTTGATTACACGATTACTCTCTCATTACTCCGTTGTGCTCTTGTGACCAAGATGACAGACAGAACATCACCTCCTCGTCTGATAAAACACTTAAGAGCAGTAAAAATATAGTGAGTCCATGGTCGTCTATGGAGACGGCTGTAATGAACCAACAATGCAGCGCAGCCTTCATATATACCCCTCGAGTTAAAGGTTATCATTGCCAATAAAAATGGTTCCCAGTAGCCCTAAAACAAAGCCTCGTCTGTCCAAACACTCCTGCTCAAAAGTCGAGGTTCAATGCGGCGCTACATTTTGTGGGGAATGAATTTATTGTAGCTCAGGTGTGATTTTTATAGTATATTACAGTATGAGCTGACCCTGGTCTTTAATAGTTGTTTAAAACACTTTATTTTGGTCTGCACATTACTGATTTATTGGTGCTTTTGTGTACTTCTGAAATAATTGACGACGTAAATTTGCAAATTTCAACTGAAAACTATTAATATAGTGTCTCAACAAGTTGAATTGATTTTAAAAATCAGTTGTTTTTTTGTCTTTTGTGCAGCTTGCCGAGTTGTTGACGTCATTTATGCAGAAACATCAATGCAAAAGTGAATGCTTTGAAGAAAGTTGAATTAATAGCTAAAAAGACCCAAAACTTGTGTAATATTTCTGCTTTATTGCTTACAAATAGCGTTAAGAGACGTTATAGTTGTAGTTCTGACCTCTGATTTGTTTGGATTTGTTAGTAGAAATCAAGATCACGTTTAATTATTGTTGTTTCGAAGGGACAAATTCTTAGAGAATTAAAATAAAATCGTCAAATCAAAAAGCTAAAATGCGTCTTTCTTAAATATTCCAACGTAAAAAGCACGAGCAGTGTAAAGTCTGAGCAATCACAGTCCCTTTATAATGCAAAAATATATGATTTGAGTCATTTATGCACCAGTATTTATTTGTTTTCACTGCTGGACATAAAAATGTACCAGTGAATAAATGACTCAAATCCTATATCGTTTCAGCATAAAGTCCAGCTATGTGTGTTACATATGCAACACAATATATTGCACATACTTTCAAATCCCTAGCCTCATTTCAGTACATTGCATCACCCAAAACTCGTCACTAAGAGTGTTAAAAAAAAATCCATTTGAAAGTGTCGGACGTCAAAGACTCCACGCTGAGCAGATCATAGAGAACAACAAGAGACAAAGCAAGTCCTTTGCATTTTGTTAGACGCCGCTTTTGTCTGATTTCAAGCTTTGCCCAACAGGTAAACGGTTCGCAGTGTGTCCCGTTTTCTTTAAAACATCTTCATTTTGCACACCAGCAGGGTTTGTAAAGTCACTCGCTTGGTTCATGAGAGAAGCCATCTTGCCAATTTCCTGTTGTGCCCATAACCCACAGGTTCAATCAACAGTCCTGAATGATGGTTTTGCTTCCAGGACTTTATTGATCTGATCGTTTCACTCTTCATCATGATGGACAGGTACTCCACCTAATCACTTCTGCTGTAACCCTTTAAAAACAGCATTTTAGTTAACACACTAGGCAAGTCCAGTCAGTTATTATTGTCTTAAGGTGGGTGACAAGGTACAGCAAGTATGTGTGTGTTAGTAAAATATCTTATGAACCATTAGATTTGAATGATTTGAATGAAACACTCAAAGTAATCAGTGTATGGACATTAACCTGACTCAAGATGACCAGCACTGCTAATCCACCTTAGCCAACACAAAACTGGCTGTAACTCAAGTCATATTTACAGATGTATATATTTTTTGTTTTCATTCAACCTTTATTTATACAAGTTAGTCTCGTTGAGTCTCATTTCAAGACAGACCTGTTTTAGATGAACCACGGATGAGGTACACACAATAAACAACTATAACTTGCATATAAAATGAAAAGTAAATAAAAGTATGGATGTAAAATGAAATGAAATCAAGCTACATTATGAAACGAGGTAAAATACTAAAAACAGGAACATGTCTGCATTAATTTTACATTGACCATAACAGTTTAAAAGCCCCTTAGAGAGGTTCAGATCTTATACAGGAGCAGAGTAAGAGAAGACCTTTTTGCTGAGTTCAGTCCACACCGAGAGGACACTGCAGGTAATGATGTCTTGAGAGCGCACGCTGTAACTGCAATGACGACGTGACATGTAAGAGGAGATATGTGAAGGCAGCAGACCAAGGAGTGATTTAGAGATGAAAACGTACCCGTGTGAGAGTCTGTGTGATGTTAATGATGACCAACCGACCCAAGATTAGAGTGCAGTGATATTAAGTTAACTTTAATGATAGTGGCTCTGAATTGTCCCCCAACACATTGAGTGCTTACAGATTGCACATTAACTTTGTTTTAAACTTTAGATTTCAGTACTGTATTTTTCTTTAAGTCGAGTTTTTTTGCATAATCTACATGCCCTGCAACTTATACGCCGAAGCGACATATTTATGGATTTTTTTTTTCATATTTATAAACCAAGTTTTGGCTGAGAGATGACCATTTTCATTCATTCTGACTGAAAAATTTGAACACTACCATTTTCACCCACTAGATGGCGCTCGAGGTGTATGGCATGCCGTTGTATCATGTAATAAGGAAAAGTGGCTATTAATGACACAATCGGCTTGCCTTAAACTGCGACTGTCGTCTACCTGGAGCAACTGAATCAGCTTCATTTTGCTGTGAAGAACAGCTGATTTGACCATCAAAATGCCTTTATTAAGTAAAAGTTCAACTGAGACACACATTTACTATAAAGTCGAGCTAAAAAATAATTGTTTTAGGTTGTTACCTCGTTAAATTTCGAGTAAATGGACAGCGAGTCGCCCTCTGCGCGTTCATGTTTCCGTGTATTGGATTTTGAAAATGCAGCTGATTTGACCGTCAAAGTGCATTTATTAAGCAGAAGGTAGACTGAGACACACATTTATTATAAATTCAAGCAAACAAATAATTGTTTT